GTTCCTAATTTTTCTACTATATACATTGTAAATGAAATTGAGAACTTAGGTAGGTCCTAGGACCTACCTAAGGACATGGTAGATACGCCCTTGACTGCAGGTAAAATTAATCCTCTTTTTCTATAAACGTTGATTTAGTTCCATGATTATATGCAAACATACGATAATGTTACTTATTCATTTAGGGAGTGACGAAAAATTGAAGGCATGTAAGGAGCTTGGAGCTGATGTTGGCATCAATTACAAGACAGAAGATTTTGTTGCAAGGGTAAAGGAGGAAAAGGTGATCTACCTTTAATTTTTAATGCTATTGTGACTTGTGATTTTTCTATTGGGCTAAATGCATTAAATAGCAATGTATTTACATTTACTTGTTTATTATAGCATTCTTATTTCGTTTCTTCTTATTATAGCATTGTACTTTGAAATTTTTTACTCAGTTATAGCAATGTCATCCATAAACACTTGGGGAGATTTTTCAGTAGACAACGTTAAATAAGAAAAAAAAGCTAAAAGTGCAATGCTCTAGTTGAGTAGATTTTATCAAAGTACAAAGCTTTAATAAGAACAAATTTGAAAGGACAATGTTGTGATAAGAAGAAATAAAAGTAGGATGATATAATAAAAGAGAAAAGGGGGTATGATATTCATTTCTTGCATTCAGCTCTTTTCTTTTTTAGCGATTGATTTTTCCTTGTACTTTTATTTTCCAGTGCACATATTGGCAAGATACTACTGCTTGCATACTCTCATGAGTCATGATCCAACGTCAAAGAGTTAATGGCTCCTTTGTGTATTTGATGGTTTGACTTTTATTTCTTCCTATGTTATGTTTGATATCATGTACTCTCATAAAAGCATGTGTTTGAAGTAATAAATGGTCTCAAGTGTATATATTCAGTAACATTAGCGATTATTCTAGTTTCCATATTTATGTTTAGTGTAGTTTCCTTATTAGGTCTTAGTATTAGCATAAGATTCTACATTATAGTTAAATACCCTTTATGATTAATGCAAAAGCGTGGCAAAAAATTAGCAATACCTGAGTTCCTAAATAGCTTCTTTCATTCAGCTCCATCCAAGTGTTTAAGCTTATCACTATGTTTAAAACTTTATATAAGATGGGAACATATGATCAGAAATGTTAGTTTAAACTTGTAACTATTTAGATCTTCCGAACCGATCTGACTTACAAAATGAAAACATTTACATCTTCATAACTGGAGTGGAAACTCATTAGGAGGAAATAAGAGAATTTCATCATCATTTCCTAGATGAGCAAGTGGCTTTTAAGAGAAATTGACGTTTGCATGAAATCTGTGAGGAACATGGAGGGAAGCATTCGCTAAGGAAATTCAAAAAAACGGAGGGAAGCTAAATTGTTGCAAAATTTGCTACGCGATGATGATTCCGTAGCAAAAAGTAAAAAAGTAGAGCAAAATTTGCTACGATCAATCAAACCATAAAGTCTTTGTAACTTCTAAATCTCCAATTTTGCCCTAACTTCTAAATTCCTCTGGTTCTGTCGCCTAACCTCTCTCCACCGACGCCATTTACGTGCAGCGAACACTAGGTCACCCCCGTCATCGATCTTCACCACCGTCGGCCTCTACCGTTTCCCTTTGTCAGCATTGCACCGCCCCCACCGTCTCCATTCATCACCGTCTCCCTGCCCAACAGCTTCGTTTTCTATCAAGGTTAAGGTCGTTCTTCCTCTAGTTTACAGTTTACACTACTCGAAGACATCATCTTTTGTTGTTCAAGGCATAAACTTGTTAATACCCTATGGATGTGTATGCTAATTTGCTGGATTTAATTATTTGAATATCATTCTTTGTTAAGAGTTATCGATTAAATCCTCCTAGATTTTGTATCAAATGGGTAACAAAATAGTTCGCATAACATGATAGAGGAAGTAATTACAAACATAAAGAAGTCCAGATTTATCAATGTGAATTCCCCAGAGTGTAGTTTGAAAATTATTGCTGCAACAAAAGTATCTGTGATTTAATGCAACTATTGTAGCTGCTGAAGTTGTTCTTGGTATTTTTGGCTTATGTCTAACTTCAATACACCAATTTTCTTATATTTTTGATGTATTTGTAATACGTATTAGAAAATGAGCACTATAGATCGAAGCTGGATGTATCAAAGACTAGATGAAGATGGTTACATTTCTCCTGTTTTCACAAATGGATTGAAAACATTCATCGAGTTTGCTTGTAGTAAACCAAGTTTCATGGATGGAAATCTAATTAAATGCCCTTGCAAAAAGAAGTGCAAAAATCGAGCATATCAAGAAGTTGATATTGATAGTTTCACTTGGTTAAGTTTGGTTTTGTTCCAAATTACTTTTTGTGGGATAGACAAGGAAAAACATTAAAAGACCAAGAAAAACAAGTAAATGTAAGCTCAGTTTGTAATTATTTGATAATATTTTTTTAAAAAGTTTGCATGAACTTTATCTTGATTCAACTATAACATTGTCGGATAAGTTGGGAGAAGAAGTTGATGATAATCAAATGATTTATAAAGTTGTGGATGGACATGATCGCAAGAGAAAAGTTCATGAACTTTGTTCATATGGAAATTCCATTGTTCCTAAGAAAACATGTGCCATCTCTTCTGAAACTTACAGTTCACCACAGATTGATGGTGATAAAGACAGATTTGAGACAAAGATTCAAAAGTTGAAGAAGATTGCAGATCAATAACATATCCTAATCGTGAAGCAGGATGAATAGATTGGGAAGCAACTAGAAGTCTAGAACTGGTTGATAAAAAATTAAAAACTATGAAAAAATGAAGGAAGCATTGGTTAGTATTTAAAGTTCGAGTGAGATGGATAAAGACATAAAGTTCTTGTTGGTGAGAGAGATTGGACAACTTATTATCCCACAAAGGTCGTTTAAGTGATAATTTCCTTGCAGTTTGTAGCTAAATTTTTTTATTAATTAAGTTGACAACGAATGTTTTAAACAAGTACGACAATGTTTAGCAACCCTGTATATGATAGCATGCAAAAGTTTTAATTATTCATAAAGTCTAAAAAGGGTATCACTACAACTCAAAATACCACCACATGTACATTAGTAGACAACCACTCAAGTTTAGGTAAAGGCTTTTGTCCTAGGAAGAAAGGCTCGAAAGCCTTGGGTGTTATGGGCAGGCAATTGCAAACTAATATATCATAAGCAAAGAGAGTGTCCAATGATATTTGGTAAGTTATACACTATAAATGCTATGTTTGGCAAAACCGATTTGTAAGTTTGTAGAAATTGAAGAGTAAGCCGCATGTTTTCATGGACAAGTGAGATAAAGACAAGTAGAGCCAAAAGAAGCCCAACTTAAAACAAGAGTAATTTTGATTCGGAAAGAGTTTGGAGGCTAGTCTTATATTTTCAAAAAGCTCTCGACAAACCAGAGCTCTTGAGACGAAGGTGGTTTGCCCATTTCCCAATATCCTTACGTAGGGTAAAATTAGAGAAATCTTCTGGCAATTTTAATTTTCAAGAAATTCGGCAATATCTGTAAAATTTAGCTATATATAAATGAATTTTGTAAGCCTTTTATAGGTATTTTGAATTAAATAATCCATTCTCATGAAATAATTGATTAGACTTGATTATTTTATTTTTGTGGTAATGTTCGATAAAAATAACTGTAAGCTTGTGAAATATCTAAGATAATATAAAACATAAAAGTCATTGGAAGTAGTTTCTAGATTAATTTTTTTGTTTTGAATAAAAGTTGT